GCACAACGCAATTGGCCCCGACCCAAAATGCATTGTATTTTATTTTTTACAATTTTCCAAAGTTTCAATCTTCGAAAAATCATTAAAAATAATCCGCTCATTCGAATTGATCCATTCTTGTTGCCTTTAGTTCCTTTAATTTTTTCCCACCACCGTACAAAAAATCAGATCCAAATGACAACCCTCGAAAAGATCGTCCCTCGATATCCCGAACGCCCCTGCCGTGTGCGAAAGCAAGGTTGCCGCTCCACGCCAAATGTGTGCACCCCAACTCTGCACACCACAATTCAAATGAGGATTTTGAAAGCGCAACGCAACTGACCCCGACCCAAAATGCATTGTATTTTATTTTTTACGATCTTCCAAAATTTTAATCTTCGAAAAATCATTAAAAATAATCCGCTTGTTCGAATCGATCTATTCTTATTGCCTTTCATTCCTTTAATGTCTCCCCACTACTGTGCAAAAAATCATATCAAAACGACAACCCCCGAAAAGATCGTCCCTCGATGTCTCGAACACCCCTACTGTGCGCGAAAGTAAGGTATCCGCTCCACACCAAATGCGTGCACCCCAACTCTGCAACCACAATTCAAATGAGGAATTTATAAGCACAACGCAATTGGCCTCGACCCAAAATGCATTGTATTTTATTTTTTACAATTTTCCAAAGTTTCAATCTTCGAAAAATCATTAAAAAAAATCTGCTCATTCGAATTGATCCATTCTTGTTGCCTTTTGTTCCTTTAATTTTTCCCCACCACTGTACAAAAAATCAGATCCAAACGACAACCCCCGAAAAGATTGTCCCTTGATATCCCGAACGCCCCTGCCATGCACGAAAGCAAGGTTGCTGCTCCACGCCAAATGCGTGCACCCCAACTCTGCACACCACAATTCAAATGAGGATTTTAGAAGCGCAACACAACTGACCCCGACCCAAAATGCATTGTATTTTATTTTTTACGATTTTCCAAAATTTTAATTTTCAAAAAATCATTAAAAATAATCCGCTTGTCCGAATTGATCCGTTCTTGTTGCCTTTCGTTCCTTTAATTTTTTCCCACCACCGTACAAAAAATCAGATCAAAACGACAACCTCCAAAAGGATCGTCCCTCGATGTCCCGAACGCCCCTACCGTACCCAAAAGCAAAGTTGCCGCTCCACGCCAAATGCGTGCACCCCAACTCTATACACCACAATTCAAATGAAGATTTTAGAAGCTCAACGCAACTGACCCCGACCCAAAATGCATTGTATTTTATTTTTTTACGATTTTCCAAAGTTTTAATCTTCGAAAAATCTTTAAAAATAATCCGCTCGTCCGAATCAATCCGCTCTTGTTGCCTTTCGTTCCTTTAATTTTTCCCCACCCCCTGGTTTTGGCTTCCTTGAAATTGATTATTGATCAACTCAAAACAAGGTCAAACGTATTACAGACGATATAATAAAATTTTATTGAATATATATGTAGATTAACTGCGATAATAATTTTACTTCGTTAAAGAATTATATTGTAAAAATAGTTACCACCTTTTGGATGGAACGTGAGTAATACGTTGTGGTAGTTGTTTCATGATACATATGTGAATCAGGAAAAGCACAAGGGAGAGAGATGGTGGAAAAGGAGAATTAAATATTCCATGTGTCTATATATAGCTTCATCCTTTAATCAGTCTCTTTATCTCCCATTCGAACAATCAATCCAGTTTCTTCATGGAACCCACTCACATTCTCACAACCACAACCAAAAAATCATGGAGTCAAGACCAAGAGATCTCAATCTTAAATGCAGTGATCCAATTCTCCACAAAAGGTCTGAATCCTTCGGCTTACCTGACTGACTTCTATGCATTCATAAAACAAACACAAACAGTGATTGATTTTACTCAAAATGAGTTGATGAAGAAACTACTCCAAATGAGGAACAATTACTGAGGGAGTTTGATTAAGGCGCCGGCGGAGATTGTTTCAAACAGCGATCCCCATGAGAACAAAACATTGAGTTTGTCCAAACAAATATGGGGTGGATTTCCAAGTCCTGATGCAACGAGTGAGATGTGCTTGAAGGAAATGGCGAAATTTCATGAACAGAATGTGGGGTTGGAAGAGGAGGTGATTAAGGAAGGACTGAAAATTATGAAGAAGAGGAATAGAGGAACGTATGTAATGAAGTTGAGGGAGGTTGAAAAATTGGAGTTGAAACTGAACTTGAAGAGAGCGGAGATTGTAAAGAACCAAATAAAGTTTTTCTTGGATGCTTACGATGAAATATCAAGAGTATAAGCTCGTGATTTTATTTTTTTCATTAAGGATTTGAATTAAAGTATATTTTTAAGAGATTTTGAATTGTGTTTTGTTGATTGCTTTTGTTATTATAAACAACTATTGTTTTTAACGTTTTGTATGACTATCACCGCCAGCCCGTATTCAAGATAGGCCGGGGCTCTCATCAGCAATATCCATCCTCCATCATAATTTAGTGTGCTACACAACTCTTCAGCTTCCCAATGATAATAATAATAATACAGCTCCATTAATCACCTGCTATTGCATGCGTAAAACTGCTACTGCATGTGGGTGTTCTTGTGAAAGACTTAAATAATAATTGCCAAAAAGCTTCTGATTTGAAAAGGAGTACAAAGAAGAAAACAAGAAACAAGAATCATTTCATTTGCTTTGTAAAGTAAAAATTTGATTTGAAAAAGATAAGCCAAATCCCAAAGCATTGGAGCATGGGCCATGCCCATCATCAAGAATTCATTTAATGTTTATATAATTAATTATCCGTGTAATATTAATCAATTACAAAATTTCAATTATATTTTTAGAAAAATAGAGAACCTCAAATAAGTAATTTATTAGCGTCAGTTAGATATTAGAATTTGAGTAATGCTACAGTTATCGATGGATGTACACTAAATTTGTGCATCGAATGACGTGATAAAATCATGATCGTTGATTCATTATAAGTTAATATTAATCAATGATCAGGATTTTATCACATTATTCGGTACATAATTTTGGTACGCACTTTTCGATAACTTTATTATTTTCCTTAGAATTTAGTTGTTGTAATTAGGTGAAAGAGAATGGAGAAGTAATTGCGTACGTAACAATGAATCCAGCTGCCTATTTTGTCAATATCCCATTCGATCTCATTCCTTTTCAAATGCCTTCACATTTCACCTCTCTCTCTTTTTCATCACATCGCCTGCATGCTGATGGGTAAATGGAAAGGTGCTATAAATTAATTATTATTGTTTTATTAATTATGGTGACGGGCAAATGAAAAGGCGCTATAAATTGTACTTAAATTACCAAGGAAAAACCATAATTCTGATGTAATTAATTGAGTTTTGAAGTATTAATTGTAGATGTTGAAAAACGTGGTGGAATTTACAAAAGCATGCATGTGTCTTTGGGACACTCTTGTCCACGTGACTTGGGAATTGGGAACGTCGTATATGTGTGATGTTTCTACTCACCATGAGTTTTGACTCCACACATAACAAAACAGCCATCTTTCTACTTCAAAATTGTTGCTTATTTTAACAATTCAAATCAAATCAAATATCTTCTTAAATTAACAAAAGCAGATACAGTCATTAATTAACATACGTATATATGTTATAGGGCATTTTCTTTACAAGTTTAAGTTCAAAATTGGATCCCTCGTCGAACCCTACAATTTTTCAAAAATAAAAATCATGACCATCCCTCTAAATCCTCATTGTTATAGGGTATTTAAAAGCGTAATAGAACTCAACTTAGAAGATGATTTTGGTTTGAAAAGAATAAAAGAAAGGAAAGGATACATATATAAATAAAACAAGTGTAGTGTAATAGTTTATGGCTTGAAATAGAAGCAAAGGCAATGGACCAGAAGGAGGCGGCATGTGAAGAAGCAATCATGTAATAAAGACCCCGGCCCTCATTCTCATTGCTTCTCAACTAAGCGATAATTCATTCTACTTGACAGTATCATATTCATAATATTTTTATTTTTAATTTAAATATGACAAATAACAATTTAATTTAAAAAATTTGTTTAAATTTTTAAAAAAGATGGTTAATTATTTTAAAATATATAAATTATGTTCAAAAGAATTGAGAATAACTGTATCAAATTGACTGAATTCAATTTAATTGACTTGATTCAATTGATAATTTCATATATTTTTTAGAATACAAAACTAAATAATTTAATTAAATAAATTCACTTGCATTATCAATTATGAATTGAATAAAACTTCATTCTCCAATCACCTTATTTCTATGGGAAATGATTTTTAGCCACCACTATTTTTTTTCTTCAGCCCCAATCTTTTACTTTAGGTGAGGGTTTTATTCTTCTTCATTCATACTTTAATTCCAAAGCTTTATATTTGTGGTTACCAAAAAAATAAATGAAATTTAGGTCAATAAGAAATCATAATTTCACTAGTAAATTGAAGCTCATAATAATTATCAAAATTACTCAACATTTCTTCTTCATATCATGAATTAATTTTTAGATCTCGTATCCTTCTAAACCTAAAGCAAACACAACGACATTTGATCTTTTTTTTTTTTTTTTTTTTTTAACATTTGAGAAAGAAAAAACTAATCATATAACAAAAAATTACTAGAACTTGAATCAAACAAGGTGTTTATGTTTGTTTTTGGAGTGTTCTTGGAATTGTCAACTTTAGAAATAGAAGATAATAAAAGATTTAAAATCTAGAGCAAAATAATGAACATATTTATAAATTCTTCCTAATTTTTTTCAGTTAATACGGGGCACTCTATAAAATCATCCTGACAACAAATATTTGAGAATCAATTACCAAATAAACTGCACCAGCGTTAAAACATATAAAACAAAAACGCTACATTATGTAGAGCATGTTTAATATCATAACGGTGTTCACTTCCCAATCAGGCTAAGCAAGACTGTCAACTTAACAGCTTAATTAGTTATTCTCAAAACAACAACCACAAAAAACATATATTATACCTAATGATTGGATGATTTCATGACCTCCAACACCAACTCAGTCTGCTCCTTAATCAGATCAGTCCGCTCCACAAACAACTGCAACTGAGCAATCTGCAACTTCTTCCACCTTTCCTCCAATTCCCTTTTTTTGTCTCCTCCAATCATATCTAAACCCTGGTTGATTACAAACTCCTCCAAAAGCAGGCTCCCTTTCTTATCATTATCAATATCCATCTTCTCCCTTTCCTTATCACTACTCCCTTTCTGGTTTTGATTCTTTTTTGCTTTGCCGTTAGACTTTGCCGCCGATTCGAGGACACCACTAGTACTTCCATTGCCCCATAGCTTTCTAGACAAATCATAAGCTTGTTGTTCATGGAGTTTCGAAAAAGTCGTATCTTCACCTTTCCTCCCAAGATTGTTCTCATACTTCTTCTTCAATCTCCTAATCTTTTCCATCACTTGAATTCTTGTAAATTCCACATGAAGCGATTTCTTGATAAAATCATGAAACGCATTCGTATCTTGATACGGGTCCATCCCTTTTTTCGTGGTGAAGTCAATCAACCCCTTCAATACAGCGATTTCATCATCCTCGCTCCATACCCTTTGAAAAAGCTGCTTTTTCATATCCTCTCCCGGCTTCTTCTGATCGTCATCATCCTGATCCGCACTTGTTTCCTTCTTGTTCGCCCGTTTCGAGTCCTTCAGAGACTCTTCCGCCTCACTGGGGCGTTTTGCCGGAGCTTTCGCCCTTGGTTTTGTGGTGGTGGCTTTCGGGGTTTGTTTCATGGGTTCGGTGGCAATAGGCTTAGGAGTTGATTCGGAGTCGGTGTCGGACTCAGATTCGGAATCTTCTTCGGAGCTAGAGGATTTGGATTGAGGGGCAGAAGTTACAGAGTGGGTTGGTTTCTGGGTTTGTTGAGGAGGAGGAGAAGAAGGTTTTGTGGGTTCTTCAGTTTGTTCATCATCAGAGGAAGCAACTTCATCAGAAGAAATCTCTTCATCTTCGGGGGAGGAAGCTGGTAGTTCTTCCATGGGATTTGGCTTCTTGGATGCCATTGTGAAACGGGGATTAGGAGATGCAAGAGGAATCGAATTGAGAAGGGAAGGTGAACGCCTAGGGTTTGTGCGGAGGTTTATAGGGAAAACGAAAGCCCATGCGGTGAAAGTTCCTCGAGCCGCCCACTCTTAATTATTACGTTGGAGTTTAACCATAGATAATCCCTATGATCACCTTTCATCCTTACCCTAATTTCTTTATTTTCTTGATCAGTATGTCCCTTGAGTTTTACATTATTTTTGTGGGCCTAACAATATTTTTTACCTAAGGGCTGGGTCTGCCCCTGGTTATCCATTTGGTTTCATGATGAATTTGTTATGTGATAGTTCAGTTCCCTTTTGTCAAGTTTGAAGATCAACTAGAAGATATACTTACTAAGGTTGTTTCCAGTAAAATATTCTACAACTCACTCCACAAATCAGGCATTAAAGGGGGAGTGTTGGTGTGAGTTGTCAATCAACAATATAACATAGTAACTGTAGGGATTACGATTACCTCTTTTGTATTTGACTTCATATACATTGTGGGTTAACCTTATGCATAGCTTAAATTAGCGTGCAACCTAGTATACGTTCCTAGAATGCCTCTTGTATATGTTATAATTATATATATGTCTGCAACTCTGCATACAGTAGAGGTAATATAGTGAAATACTGCCTCCGTTCAATAGTAGGGTAAGGAGTTCTATCAAGTTCACAATGTCCAAGGTTTCAAAGAATTTCTCTTGCCATTTCTTGAAATTCACCCCATTGAAAATTTCTCAATCTTCGCAGTATGTTTGGTAGGAATTTGACAGGGTTGAGACTTGAGAGTATCTTCGTAAAGTAACCTGACGTCCTCATAATTAAAAACTCTTCTCACACACACACCGCCACAATTCCCGCAAATAAAATTCTTCAATTATATTTATGCATAAGCCTAGTTTAAAAAAATATATGCAAAAAAATGGAAGAAATAAGGACACCCAAAAAAACTCTATAACCAATGGAAATATAAGTCAAGCGCCCCAGTAATTTTCAAAAAGTATTAAAAATCCCCCTGCCCAAAGGGATTTTTTATATTTGCAAGAAGTTTTTTCTTTTATATTTTTAGAGGGTTGGTTGATATATTATAAAGGGTTTTGCGATAATTTTTTATAAGACTTTCAGAAATTTTGGTTAATACTTACTAAAAATCACTAGTCTTGGTTATCTCTTAGGAGGTGAATAAAATTAGAATAATGGTATTTGGCTCCTACTAAATTTCGCAAAAGACCCCATTTTGATAACTTGTTAAATTACAATATTATTCTCTATTAACATATATAGTTTTAATTAAGTCCCTACACATCATTTTTCTTTTCCTTAAAAAATTATCTGGCATCCACAAATTTGAGTTATAATTTTTTTTTTACATGTTTTATTATTCTTAATAATCATAGTTGCAAAAGAATTTCATTTAAATATTAATAATCATCACTTTATAAACTGTTAAATATATAATTTTAAGTATTTATAAATTTACTTTGCAATCAAATCAAGGTGTTTTTTAATTTTAGGTCAAATGTGGAATGAAGTGACTGTATTGTTAAAATAATTAAATTTTTTTTTTATTTTTTATAAAGTTTAGTTTGATAAAATGTGAAAATTAACCCACTGGTACATAGATTTGAACTGATTTTTAAATTTGACTGTGCTACTATTCAATTGTGGTGAATCGATGTTTTGTCCATCTAAAATATGTGAGTTCTTAACTTGTTACTTTCTAATTTCTGTTTTCTTTACTATTTTTCTTGAAAGCCTGTTTAAGAGACTTTGAATTGTGTTTTCTTGATTGCTTTTGTTACTATAACAATTATTGTTTGTCTTATTATTTTGAATAATACTTTTTAAAAAGTTGAATTGAATTATTATTATAAGGAGGGGATTTGAATTTAAAAATGTATTGGATAAGATTATTTTCTAATAATCTGTATTTGTTAATTTAGTTAAACATCTCTTATAATAAAAGTTTTAAAATTAATAAAAATATCTTTACCCAACCATTAAATGCCCGTAGTCGGCCATCGACTTTAAAAAATATATGGATGAATAAGAGTGTTTTTGTTAATTTATAAATTTTTTGTTAAAAGTATTTAATTAAATTAATAAACTTAAAAAGTGTAAAAATAATAGAATAAAATTAAAATTTTAAAATAGGAAAATAAATGTTATATTTTAGATAAGATAGGATGAAAATATTAAAACAAATACAGTCAATTATTTTTATATTTTTGTACAAATATTTTGTACCAATATCATCAAATAGGTTGTGGTTCTCATCAGGAATATCCATTTAATTATATATTTAAAAGTAATGTTATCTTTACTATACCCCTTACACTCATTTTTATCGCAGGTGGTACATATATTACATTCACATAATTTTTATTATTATTAATAAAATGGTCATGTCTAATAAAAATGGTGTCTAGGTCATCTAGGAATATTACTCTATATTTAATGCATTAATTAGTGTGTAACACAACTTTTCACTTGCCCCCAACTCTTCAGCTTCCCCATGATAATGATAATATAGCTTCATTAATCACTGACTTTTCCAAACTCGAGGTACGGAGGTGGCCAAAAAATTGAAGAGCCTGAAGAAAAAATTCTCTTACTCTGTCACAGTATGATAGTTAGAGAGAGTTCTCCGAGAGCTCCTCTCTAAAATGCAATTTAATTGTTTAAAATAAACAAAAATTAAGTGCACACTTGTTGTCAGGTGGAAGAACGAATCGACCGCCTACAATTAGCGTAGGCCAAGGGCATCATAGCGACCATAATTAATCTACTTAGTTATTAGAATAATAATAATAATAATAATCAGAAGTCAACAGTATAAAAAGACTATTTACATATTTGGGTGTAATCGAGTTTTAGGTCTTTGTTTCGTTTCTTCTGAAAACTTATTTTTCTGAGTTAGGATTTCATGCTCATTTTGAGTTTTTTTGTGTGAATCTTTCTAGAGTATTGTTTGAAGACAGAGATTTTTTAAAGGGTATAGAGTACTCTAGGGTTTAATAGGATTTGCGAGATACAAGGAAGTGAATGAGTGTTTGATTCTGTGAGTGACAGTGAAGAAGATTCTTCTGTAAAGTGTAATCTTTGAGGTAATCAATACTAGTGCAACGAGCTCCATATTCTAGAGTTTAACATAAATGTAATTTATTCTATATTGAACAAACGAACTACGATATATCTTGTATTGTGTGATTATTGGTTGTTCTTGCAGTTTCTATTTTGTATTGTGACTAATCTTGCACATTGAAGGATTGGTATTGATTTACAATAAGCTCCTCTATAAAATGCAATTTAATTGTTTAATATATATGAATAACTAAATAAATAAACAAAAATTAAGTGCACACTTGTTGTCAGGTGGAAGAACGAATCGACCGCCTACAATTAGCATAGGCCAAGGGCATCATAGCGACCATAATTACACTACTTAGGTATTAAAATAATAATAATAATAATCAGAAACAATTATATTTTAAAAATTTACAGAAGTAAAACAGTTGATTTTTTTTGTTATTTTTTATGAAATTAAATTTATATTAATAAATACTCTTGTCTATATATATATTACTCACAAACTTTACTTCCTCCTCTTTAATTATCTTTTAATCACAAAAAAATTACTATTAAGGTCAGATTACTAAACCCCACTAACATTTGAAAAATTTAGCCATTTATTTACCCTGATGGTAACTGTATATGATAGATAAACGGAAAAGTTTTGAATAATATTTGATGGGGGTATTGTATATCATGCAATTTGTAAGACCATTAGATAACATCCAAGCATTTTTATATCTATTTTACACCTAAATATTACTATAAATTTTTAATTTTCAAATAAATATATAAAAAATGAAATGCATTTGCGGTTATTCAAAAATATTATATACCCTTGTTATCATTAAATACCCCATTAAAAAATATCAAAAACCCTCTAAAAAAAATACTTCTGCTGAATCTTCTACTCATTGTACAATTGGATAATTAATTAACCCTCCTTAGTTAGGTCAAATGACTAAACCCCACTAACATTTGAAAAATTTAGAAATTTACCCTGATGGTACTGTATATGATAGATAAACGGAAAAGTTTTGAATAATATATGATGGGGGTATTGTATATCATGTAATTTGTAAGACCATTAGATAACATCCAAGCATTTTTATATCTATTTTACACCTAAATATTACTATAAATTTTTAATTTTTAAATAAATATATAGATGGTGAAATCATGGTTATTAGTATCCTACAATATGCGATATGTATCTTACGATATGATTCGATACCAGTCGTTAACGATATGAATTAGAAAATATATCATAAACCTTTTGATACATATCCGTTCGTATCTTTAAAAATATTGATAAAAATATATACGATTTTATTAATTTGGGTCAAAGACTCCAAATTTTTTTTGGGTCAAATCCGGGTCGCCCAACTAGGTTTATTAAAACCTGCCCAAATTTACCTATTTTGCATGGAGAAAGTGAAGAGGAAGATATATTACCCATTTTGTATAGTAATAATAACATAAGTGGAAACATGAATGGTTGAAAAGAAATGATATAGATTCTAAATTTTAATTATGTAATACTATAATTTAAAACTAATAATATCATAAAATTTGTTAATTAACCTTAAAGATTATTATTTTATTAATTTATTTTTTAAAAAGACATAATCTATAATACCTGATACACCATTAAAAAAATTAGAGTTTTGACATACGATTTGACATTTATGTATGAAATGCATTCGCAGTTCTTAAAAAATATGATAAACTGTTATTATCATTAAATACCCCGTTAAAAAATATCAAAAACTCTCTAACAAAAATTTTGAAGTAAATGCATACGTGACAGCTTATTAATTTCTGTTTATAAAATTTTAATTTCAGAAATCTTCGGTTTGCGTAAAGGAGATAGAACGGTTTCATTAATTGCTTACAAAAACTAT